CACTCTTTGCTCCATATCTCCGTAACGGCTGGATCTGCTTTTGCTAAAAACTAATCAGCACTTTACCCTATCAATGGAAATCGAATGTTTTTTGAACCATTGAATTCGGTTGATCCGTGCGCCCGAAAACGTGGACAAAAAATGCGGACATACAAAACACACACACATCCATTTTTTCTGAGGTATGCCAAAATGTTCAGAAACCTTCAAAACGTCGAGAAATGCAAAAATTAACAAAAATGGCGATAAAATGAACGGAAAACTTGAAAAATGAGAATAGAAAATGAGTGATGGTAGAAAAAAACCTGACAGATAAATAGGCCATTCTAGTCAGCTAAAAGTAATAAAATGAAAACTGAGGGATGCATGATAAGAAGAGTGATAAATTATAAAACCTGGCAAATAGAATATACTTTTCTTTTGTGTAAAAATAAAGTGAGCTACAAAAATAAAACTGAAACTGATTGATGTATTGTAAAAAGAGTGATGGAAGAGAAAGCTGAGGGATGCATTGTGAAAAAGTGATGAAATAGAAAATGAGTGATGGAAAAGAAAGGTGGGGGATGCATTGTGTAAAAAGTGATGGAACAGAAAAATGAGTGATGCATTGTAAGAAGGTTTATGAAACAGAAAAGTGAGTGATGCATTGCAAGATTGGTGATGAAACAACAAAAATGAGTGATGCCTTGTAAAAATGATGAGGAACAGTGAAAGAGTGATGCATTAAAAAAAATAAGGTACAGAAAAATAAGTAATTCATTGTATCACAGGTGTTAGAATATAAAGCTGAGGGATGCATTGTAAAAAGAGTGATGCAAGAGAATTGGGTGCATTGTGAAAAGGATAAGGAGTGATGGGTTATGTAATAGAAAAGTGAGTTATGTATTGTATCATGACAGTTGGTGATGGAATATAAAATGAGTGATGTATTGTAAAAAGGATAAGAAAGAGGAAGGTGAGAGATGCCTTGTAAGAGAGGTGATAGAATAGAAAAATTAGTGAAGCATTGTAAAAAGGATAAGAAAGAGAAAGGTGAGGGATGCATTGTGAAAAAAGTGATGAAATAGAAAATGAGTGATGTATTGTAAAAAGAGTGATGGAAGATGATTTGTAAAAAGTGATGGAATAGAAAAATGAGTGATGCATTGTAAAAAGAGAAAGAAAAAGATGAGGAACAGAAATATGAGTGATGCATTGTAAGAAGGGTTATGAAATAGAAAAGTGAGTGATGCATTGTTAGAAGAGTTATATTTTTTACAAATTTTATATTTTTTACAAAACTGAGTGATGCTTTGTAAAAAAAGATAAGTAACAGAAAAAAGAGTGAATCATTTGTAAGAAAGGTGTTAGAATAAAAGTTGAGGAAGCATTGTGAAAAGAATGGTGGGTTAGAAAAGTGAGTAATGCATTGTAAAAAAGAGAAGGAACAGCAAAATGAGTGATGCTTCGTAAAAAAAGATAAGAAACAGAAAAAAGAGTGATGCATTGTAAGAAATGTGTTAGAATATAAAGCTGAGGGATGCATTGTGAGAAAGGTGATGGAATAGAAAAGTGAGTGATGCATTGTAAAATAGGTGATGGAACAAAAAAATGAGTGATGCATTGTAAGAAGGAATGGAAATAGAAAAGTGAGTGATGCCTTGTAAAATAGGTGATTGAATAGACAACTGAGTGATGCATTGTAAAAAGAGTGATGGAATGCATTGTAGAAAAGTGAGTAATGCATTGTAAAAAGCAGAAGGAACAGCAAAATGAGTGATTCATTTTAAGAAGGGTGATGGAATAAAAAACTGAGTATAAAAAAAGTGTTAGAATAGAAAGCTGAGTGATGCATTGTAAGAGAAGTTATGGAATTGAAAAATGAGTGATGCATTGTAAAAAAGGTGATGGAGTAGAAATTTGAGGGATGCATTGTGAGAAAGGTAATGGAATAGGAAACTGTGTGATGCATTATAAGAAATCTAAATAAAAAAAACTGAGTATATGCTATGTAAGAAGGATGATGAAGGCATAAAAAACCCAAAAAGTGTAAGTGAGAGATAGAATAGAAATTTTTGTCAACTAGAAGAAATAAAATAGAAAATGTGTGATGCATTGTAGGAGTTGAAAAATGAAGAAATATTAGAAAAAATAATAATGGGTTATATGTTAGTGCAAATTTTAAAGTATGTGCATAGATTTGATGAAAAAACTGAAACTTGATGGGGTTATGCCAAAAACTCAATTTAGGCTTCCTAATTGTCAATTGTTTGCACATTCAATGTCGGACACAAATCGAATGGTTTCTTAAATTTATTTTATACTATATTTATATTATATAATATAATATCATCATACCCAAAGACTCCATGGCCAACTTGGCGTGCTCGTATCCTATCGGTTGTGACTTATCCATCATCTTGAACCCTTCCCTTCTCATGTCTTTCATAAACAACGCCGCCTCTGTGAATCCATAACAAACAGGATAATGTTTGAATCTATCCTCATCAGAAATTCCCATTTTGTCTTGAAACTTATCGAAAAGTGGAAACAGATGGGTATAAAAAAATCTTTCTGTATCAAACATGACGTTGATTCTAAACTCTTGCAAGATCACTGCACTTTTGGGCTCAGATTTGCAAACTAGGTGTAGACTTTTATCGCTGGTTTCACTTGTGACTTCTATTCCCAGCATTATACCGATATTATTATCTCCTTTGATTGTTACTGGTTTTATTGCAATTAAAGGATCGGGAATTTGTTCGTTTTCGATTATCCTCAAAAGATCTCTTTTGAGCATCTCGCTCATATTCTCATCCATGGTTGTTGTAAGAAAGAATTTATTATATATTAATAATATATTAATTTATTACAATCGCAGGTTTCGATAATGACAAGTTGACTTCTGTTTCGTGATTTTTGCACTATTGATAAGGTGGGAGCGATTCCGGTGATTTATATGCAGTTAGACAGGGCGCCGGTGGAAACGTTCGGGTGATGAAGAATTTTATGGTAATTAAAGGGTTCGCAGGTGGTTAAACTAGGGACGAGTAGAGACGAAACATATTATAGTTTGAGAAAGTATGTGAGATAAAAATGAAAACTAGTGGTGTATGGCATCGTGCTTTGAGGCAAATTACTGGAACCTTCGGTACCAAAAATTATTAGATTTTTAGAAATTTTTAAATTTTTGAATAAATTAAATTTTGGAAAAAAAAACTTTTGGAAATATGTTAATAAACATCGTGTTCCCGAAGAAAGTTTGTACCCGCACACACATACATCATTTTTGTCCAAGGTATGCCAAAATGT